AAGTTGACTCCTGCCTGCTAATTTCACATCCAGATTGATGTCGCTGCCATTAAAGTCACTCGTCCAGCAAATCCAAAAGTAGCTTTGTATTAAAATTATTACATTTTCTTTTTCTCAAAATCTTTCATCCAAGAACCTCAAAAGAGATCAGGGGGTCTTGAGAACAGTTGGGAATCTGCAGGAAGCACTTAGCCCTGTGGTAAGCATGTCCTCAGTTGTGGTTATTCAAACTGCTTTTGTCTAGAATCAGACTGGACATCTTGTAAAGACCTTCTGCTTTGTCATTCTTTGTTCCAGCTGTGAAGGAGATATTCCCATAACAGTCTCTCTCATGTTGTTTTGCAAATCTGCTTGTAAACTTAAGAAACTGAGAGCCATCTCATGATCTAAATGACTGATTTGGTTTTATGTTAAAAAAAAAAAAAAAAAAAAAAAAGTAAAAATGAGCTCCAGATCTAAATTTTAGTTATGTGTTCCTGGAGCTGTGTTACGCTGACCTTGCATTGGTGCAAAAATTTGTGATAAGACAATTGTTAAGACCACTTATCTTACACTATTCCTTAAGCCTGCAGGACAGAATATAGCTCCTGGTCCATCCTGTGTAGTTGGTACATCATCAGTGAAATGGCATTTAATAGGACTCTGGCATTTCAGAGAACTTCAATCCCTTCCTCACATAGAAGGGTACAGAATTCAGGGAGGTTCATTTTGATTGAGAATGTCAAAGGACCTCCTGAATATACCTCACTGACTGGAGGTAAAGGCCTAGCGTCTCTGCCTGCGGCAGGTTACCTCAAGCTTTATTAACAGAGAGGGGTTCTTTTTTTCTGCATGTAATTTTCCTTGTTTTGCTAAAAGTAACATGAATAAATAAATAACCTGAACAGCGCTATAATGAAGGATCAGTGGGTTAATTGGAAAGATGAGTGGAAAGTGATTGTCCCCTCTCCTGCTGAGCACCTGCTGCCAAGTTAATTCATGCAGCAGTGCTGGCCACAGAGAGGAGAAAGCAAATCAGATAAATTGAGTTCATTGCTAATCGGCTGCTAGGATTTATTTTCAAGTTCTAGGAACCAACTAAAATGTCAATTAGAGAGTCATTGTTCGTCACTCAAGAGTCACAGCTCTTGCAACACCAAGGTATATTTATTTTAAGACATAGCAAAGAAGGGGAAGGGATTTGTTGTGAAACAAAATTCCCAAGGCAAAATTGAGTACTTGCCACCCATTGGCAAAACAATTTGGTCATTTCATTGTGTTTTTCCTGTTGACTATTTCTGATTGCCAGTTTCTTTCTGGGCACAACAAATTCAACTTTAGCTTAACACAGCAGTTGTTAACAAATACCCCTCTGTAAAAAAGAAAGGTTATTCTCTTCTCTCCTTGTCTTCCATCTTTTCTTACATAGTATTAACTATTCAGCCATTACAACTTCTTTTACACGTAAACAGTTCAGCTAAATGTCCCAAGTATCTTGTGTGTCTATAACTTATTTATTTTGAACTTGAATTGATAACCATTACTGGTACTAGGTAGCTTCTTATTCTCAGCATAGCTTCACTGATTGGTGGAAATGAGCACTTTATTTTCTCCATCCCTCCTCCTTCCCCTTGTTTTTTCTGCCCTCTTCTGTTTGTCTCTTTATAGTACTCTTCCTTTTTTACTTTGTTTTAGTCTTTGATTCTGGCTTATTAGAATTTTCTGAACCAGGCAGAGTAGCAGTGAGTGTGTCAGAAAGATGGAAGGGATCTGAAGCTGTCACCAACAACAGCAGCTTCTTTTTTTCATTTCTTCCTGAAGCAGGTGCCTTGCCTCTTTTGCATATCTGTAAAGGGCAGGGATGCTAGGGCTCAGCATATCAATCCGTTCCTCCAGCTTGGACAGAGAAGGATTGTACCAGGCTTATAGGAAGGAACAGGCTGCATCAGTACAGATTTCTAGAGCACAAGAAGTCACTGTGTAATATAACTGTAAAAGTCTCTGGAGTTCTGAATAAATGACTACAGATGTGACACTTCTGAGTGGGATTTGTCTCAAAAACAGAAAGAGCTGGAAATTGAGCCCCACGTCGTTTTTTCTCCTCTCCTTTGAAAAGTTAAAGCAAAAAGATTAAGGATGCAACTTACACTGAGCTATTTTTAATTTTTCAGGAGAAAGCCAAATGGACAGATAAATTTCTTTTTCAGTACTTGAAAATGGGAGGGTGCAGAGGAGGAAAAGAACGCTATCAGACAAAAAAATCTACCTTTACACATTACAATAGGTGTGGTAGTCACTCTTAACTTTGGTAAAGCTATACACACCAATATTCAGGAAAACTTAGCTACAATAATAGTTTACTAAGATAACATAACCCTTTGTTCCTTGCAGTTCAGCTAGAGAGCAAGTGTGATACTGGAAACGGTTTAACTTGCACACGTGTGTTTAAATCTCTGACACACTGAACCAAGAAGGAGAAGTGCAGTTTTTGCTTAATTCCAAATGTGTGCTAATTGTTGACTTAAAACATACTTGACTTTTCCACTGCATCATAGCGGCATGTGTAACATGGTATCATCAAGGAGTTTGGTCCTATTTGAGCTGTCAGAATTAAGAGCTTATGCCTGAAATTTATCTTTAGTGTATGCTTCCTTTAATTTTAAAAAGGGCACAAGGAAGGACTAGACTATTTATTTAGCTCCAGGGTGCCATCAGTTTTGATGTGATTGTTTCTAACTTGAATAGATAAAAAATCAGGATTCCTCGAAAGAAAAATCATTAGGAATCCTTTTTGTTCTGCAAAGGTATTATTTAGTGACCATATTTAAACTGCTTTATAAAGCAGGTTGATCTTCATGTGTTACATGCTCTAAATGCTACGAAAAATGCTGAAATGATTACATAACCTGCAATATAATTTATAGTAAGAACCTCTCTAGGCTGCAGAAGTGTGACTGGTAGGTGATTCCACCATGGAAGGGATATAGTAAGACTGCAAAATCAAACACCCTGAGCTTCAGAAAGAGCCTGCTTGAAGTTCAGTTTCTTAGTCACTGAATGGGAAAACAAGCCTTCTTTGTTCTCTTGTATGAGACAATTACCCCATGTGCTTAAATATCAAATAATCTTTCTTCATCTTTTGTTTTATGGCAGTAGTGATTTAACTATAGGAGTTATCTACTGATTGATATCTTGAAATGGGTTCAGGACATGCTAAATTTTAGTGATGTTTCATTCTGTAATCATTATGTTCTGTAACTAGCTTTATTCCTTATTAATATGCCTCCTTACTAAGAAGGACTTTAAGAACAAAATACTGCATTTTAAATTTATTTCTTTGGATGTGAAAAATGTCTTTACAGTATTTGCCTCATGAATGTTTTCCCCTTCTTCCGTCTTTGCATCTTTCTCTGGCTTTTGTACTTCATCGACTGCCCGCTATTTCGGGCATGCATCTGTCTTTTATGTTGAGGCAGTGATACATGCTGCACAAATACCATGGGCTGTCAGGAACGTTCCTGGTGATCACAGTTAGTACAAATGAAACATTTCTAAACTATTTCATGTTTTCAAGTGAGTACCTGACCAGCACCAAGATCAAAGTAGATACAAAGCTTTCTTACAGTCAATGTATGTACGTGCATACACATGTTGTCATGCACTTCAGGTACCTTTCTTTGGTTTAAACTCAAGAATTGTGTCTTTGTTGCATCTGTCATATGATCATTGCCTGTCTTCCAAGTCTTCTCTTCCTTAAGCCTGTCGCATAACTCTCAGTAATTTCTTTTCTTCCCTGGAATGGCGTTAGTGATTGCATGTGCCCATTTTATAGCATAAAATATCAGGGGGTTTACTTTTGTTCATGATACTTCAGGAAAATTAACTTCGGTAGCACAGGGGAAGAGAGTTTAATGAAAGGAGCTACAATCTCCTCTCAAATACATTTGCAGCTTTATTTTTGAATTGTCACTGGATTCCTCAGTAACACACACACACATTCCTATTCTGTGTGTGTCAGAATCTTTTTATTAATTTGTGGTGTTATTTTTCATGAAAGAACACAAAAACAAACTAGTACAAGTCAACATGCACTCTATTAGTATATAATTCATAACACTGAATTATTTTTTTTTATTCCACAGAATAAAAAAGTTAAAAGCTAAAGTGAATATTTAAATATGTAAATAAATCAAAGTGGTTTGCTATTTGACATGATTACTAATCATGATTTATACTTGTAATCATTTTGATGGTGAACTGAGAACTGAGCGACTATCAGAGGTTTAACTGTGTCACTTTATGTCTGGGTAGGATGCCATGTAGTCAGATGCCTCTATATGTTTCTAAAATTAAGTATCTGCATATATGTGCAGAAGTAAGAATGTCCTAGACTCATTTCTTCTGGCTGCCTTCATAGGAGACACGTTCTGTCTTGGCTTGTTCCATTTTCATTATTGAGGCCCAGTAAATTTTTAGATCAACGAAAATTAGGCCTACATTTTTTAATACATTCAGCTTTTCTTTCATTTGTCTTTCTATTGCCTGTTAATAAAAAAAGAAGAATCTTCCATAGCAGGGCAAAATACTGTGCAGTTTGTACTTCTAATGCACGGAACATTTGCTTTAATTGGTGAATGTGCTTTATTAAAGTTTGGGTTACTTTAACATTTAATTTCTCTCTTTGTTGTACTGGTTGAATTTTTATGAGTGTGTGACTTGAAAAACAGTGATGAATCATGCTGGGAAGATATCTATAGGGATGTATGCAGAGGAGAAAGTGAGGGGTTGCCATTGTGATCATACCACATGACACAAGAAAATGCATATGTTGCACTCATTCACTTGGGGCACGGGCAGCCAGACAGAAAGGGGAAGGATTTCTGTGTCACATGCTGCTGGTATCATGAGTATAATAAAGTGCATATGTGTTTGTATAGCATTTTTCTGAACGCATTAAGAAAAAGTTGTGGGTTTAGCTGTTATTCTGTGTGATGAAACAACGCAAATTTTCCCTTTTTCAGATAATACTCTCAGCATATTGGCAAAGCATAGTGGATTCAGCCGACAGAAGCAAGAAGTATATCTACTGCCAATCATAATAAGCGATAGTGGGAATCCTCCTATGAGCAGCACGAGCACTCTCACTATTCGAGTCTGTGGTTGCAGCAGCGATGGTATTGTCCAGTCTTGTAATGTTGAAGCATACGTACTTCCCATTGGACTCAGTATGGGAGCCCTAATTGCAATATTAGCCTGCATAATTTTGCTGCTAGGTATGTATTCATCTCACAGCCTGGCGTTCAAAATTTTTCTGATTGCTGGGTGGCTCTAAGTAAGCAAAGAAGTCACATAGAAGGACATACAATCTAATTCAATGTAATGTGCAGCTGTACTGAGAGACCTGTCAGGACTGCACCCCTACTGTACTAAGAACTGAACAAAAGCATAAAAAGCAATATCCCAGTCTGAAGTAGTCTTACACACAAGTTACATAATAAACAGGTATGGAATATGAAACCAAAAATCAAATCAGGTATGTTAAGTAGCAAGGTGGACAAAGTATACACTGCACATGATGGAAAATAGATTTGTTTTCTCTTCTAAGACTTGTATGAGTTTATTTTGGATTGTAGCGGTTTAAGAGACATTGCAGTTTTACAAAATAAGAAGCACTGTGTATTTTAATAAAACATACAAGATTTGTATACAACATCAAGCAAGGTAGAGAACAGTGAAGGAAGAGGCCTATTTCTGCACGTTGCAGCTTCGTTTTCTAACTGAGATTTACATCAGTAACGGATTTCAGCATTAAGCTGCAAAAACAACAGTGTAACCAATTTAGAGCTTTTTTTATGCATCAGTCTATGATTCTGAAACTGATGTATCTAAACTCTTTCTTTCGCCCTTAGTGTCTCATTCTCTTTTCAGTTATATAGTGTGAGTCTGTTGCAACACATAAAGAAAGACACCAATTGCCTCCTGTCATCAGGGCTATGGTTTCAGAAAAACACCCTCTGATTTTGGAAAACTCCATCCATAATGTAGATCATTATAGACTATGTTAAGTGAATGATGATAGCTTGACTTCATGTAGGTTTGTAAGTTTTCCAAAGGGAAAAGTCATCTAAATTCAAGGTGCAAAATGGAAGTATGCAAAATCTTATTGCTTATATAAAATAGAGCTTCAGATGTAAATACGAGCTGAAAATAGAAAACTAGAGGACTAACCAGCACTTCTAATCAAATTTTCGTCACTTGAATGGGGTTGAAGTTACAGGTCTTTCAGCTTTTCACTACCTTTATTACTCTTATTTTCACAAAAAGCAACCTATGACCTCCCATAACTGTGCTTATCAGGTAGTGCTTTCATTGGAAATTTTTTACCTAATCAGCCTGTGATGCTTTCTTTGCAGTCATTGTGGTGCTGTTTGTAACACTAAGAAGACACAAAAATGAGCCTCTAATCATCAAAGATGATGAAGATGTGAGGGAAAATATTATTCGTTATGATGATGAAGGAGGTGGAGAAGAAGATACAGAAGCTTTTGACATTGCAACTTTGCAAAATCCAGATGGAATTAATGGATTTTTGCCTCGTAAGGATATTAAGCCTGATCTTCAATTTATGCCCAGGCAGGGTCTTGCACCTGTTCCTAATGGTGTCGATGTTGATGAATTTATTAATGTAAGGCTTCATGAAGCTGATAATGATCCCACGGCTCCACCATATGACTCTATCCAGATTTATGGCTATGAAGGGAGAGGGTCAGCGGCTGGTTCCCTTAGCTCCTTGGAGTCCTCTACATCAGACTCAGATCAGAATTTTGACTACCTCAGTGAATGGGGTCCGCGCTTTAAAAGACTTGGAGAACTTTACTCAGTTGGAGAAAGTGACAAAGAAACTTGACAGTGGATTACAAACTTTTTCCCTGTTGACTTAATGATCATGTAATATTCTAGGGCCACTGCTGTTAGTTAAAACTAATGTGGCTTTTTGTTTTAGAGGCAAGTTTAGCGCCAGTCATCTATAAAATCAACTACATTGTAATGTTGAACCAAAAAAAAAAAGTATATGTTAGGAGGTTAAGTCTTGTGGAGTGTGAAGTAAAGTATGTGGAGTGTCTAGAAGTCTTTGGATATTTGATATTCACTTGACCACTCTGAAGATGGAGATTTGGATCTTTGATTATCTTCAGTGAATTGAAAAGAAAAAGAACAAAAAGAAATTGGTGCTTTCTTAGAAAATGGACTTGCAGGGATTTTGCTGTTGAACAGTAGCTCCTGCCAGTATGTGTAAAGCTAATGGTTTGTTTCTGCATTGCCAACAAAGATCCCGCCACAGAAATGTTAAAAGCAATATCTTGGTCTTCTTAGCAATGCTGAATAGAAATAGCATTGTAAATTCCTACTGGCTTCTACCGTGCAGTGACCATACATTGTACATACAGTAATTGTTGGCCACGTAAACACAGACTGAATATCATCTTTAAATATTGTGTAAAGCCTTAAAATATTCACATGTTCTTAATCCATTCCAGTGATGGGTAATAAATCCTACTAATGTGCAGAGATTCAGAGGCAGGGCTACAAAACCTTGCTTTACAAAAGGATCTTTTTCTAGAAGAAGGATCAATCCTGTGCTTCGTCTTCTGAAAGGAAAGAAAAAACTGTGAAAGGGGATGGACTTACATATATGAAAGAATTGCTGATTTTATTGCTAAAGATCGAATTTATTTGTTTAATCTTTGAAATAAATATTTTATTGATGTCCATTACTGCTTTTATTTATTAAGACTGATAATCTATAAAGTAAGATTATGAAGAAGACTAAATTATATCCGTTAGATTTTTTTTTCTATATATAATGAATGTTTAATACATGTACATTTTGAAAAGAAAAATGACAAATTGTTGCAGGTTAAAGCAGTAACCTATCCATTTGCAGTAGTTGAATTTTAAGAGAATGCTGGCAGGAATAAAACTTTCCCAGAGAAAACTTTTGACAGTTTTATATCTTCTTCATAAATCTAGTACCTGGTGTTTTTAATACAAGCACAAACAGCTGGAAGTAAACTGGTTCATGTGAATATTTAAACTATAGACTTTTAGAAATCCACACATAACACAGTACAGTAAAAAACATACTTATAGTTCTCCACTGTATTAGAGCAGGAACCAGTGTGTACATAATTTTACTGCTTATGTTATTAGCATTTCTTTTCTATAATATTCATAGTGATGCACCAGGGCTCTTGCACACAGAGAAAAAACAACACTAGAAGCTGCAAGCATACTCAATTTGTAATGCAAACTTGCCATTTAGAAGTAGCAATTGTATAATAAAACTACGTATTACATGCAAATCATTTTAATTTTCTACTTTGTTTTGAAGCTATATTATTGTTTGTTTATTTACTCCATGTATTGTATTCAGAGAAACTCCTGTATTGTTTCCTACTTTGTGAAATATATTTTTATAAATACTTTTCTGGTTATTGCTTTTCTTTCAGTTTTACCTGTACACTGCAGAAAGGAATCTGCCTGAATAACTTCATAGTTTGTTGAGGAATGTAGTTCCTTCAAAATCATTTATTTATTAGTTGAATACAGTCAAAATATAAAGGGATAATATTTGAAGCAATTTTTGACATGGTTTGCGGAATTAGGTATGCTGCACCCTGTGACCACAGGAGTTATGTGTGTCTAATTCACTGCGCCATGCTGAAAAAAAACCTCACACATTTGTTGTTAAAAGTATTGCTAGTAAAGACAATCCCCTGTCTTTAAGCTCCTCGGTAATGTTTGTTCTGCAAACAAAAATATCTTAATGCATCACCCCCAATTTTGCCTGTATTTCAAAATGGAAACATTTACTTTGCTTTAGCTGCAGCATGGCTGGTTTTAATGACTGTAGTTTGTGGACAACTAATATGCTACCACCACTTCTGTTTGTATTATAAGGATTTTACTGAAATTAATGAAGTATCCAATTCATTTACGTTATACTGCATTAAAAAAAAAAAAATCCCTCTGAATAACTTTATCTAGCAATTTTGGTAATAATATGAACCAAACAGTGAAGTCATCTAAAGATAGAAAAGAAGCAGTCATCAAGATTTCAATGAAATCAAACATATTTATGTAACAGACTGTAATAACAGCCAAACACATTCTTACTAATCATCTGCATCAAGTGCCAGGGTGTTCTGAATTGCCATGCCAAATCTAATAGTACTGTAAATGCAAAAGTCTGTGATTTGAAACTTGGGCTGAGCAATTTCTAGTCTACATCCCACTCCTGGGAGCAAAGGAAGGTTCTGTGAGATACGGATCACATTATTGTCTATAGTCACATAAGCGTTTAGGGCACGTAGCTCTGACTATGAGTTATAGTATATAGTGTAGAGTTTTGCAAAGCTCTTTTGTAGGAAAACTCATAAATGGATAACCTTCTGATTGCCTTTTTGATTGAAAGTTCCATCTGAGACCATGACAGCGCATTTGGTAATAAGATTTCCAGGAAAAAAAAATCCCATCACTGGCACTGTAGGAGAGCCAAAGCATGACAGAAATCTCATCGTTGTCAGTCAAAAAGAGGTGGTAGCTACTACTGGTGGGCATAGCTGTAAATTGTGCATTTACACAGGTTTTAAACATGAATCTACAATGCAAAGGGGAGAAAAAAATTAATGAATTTGTGATCTGTCAATAGTTATGTGCTGTTTCTTGAAGTCATTGCTACCGCACCAAAGGGAAATTATTCATTCTGCAAACTAATTCCATGCGATTTGAATATAAAATTTATACCAATATATGCTAGAGGGTTAAATGTTGATCATTCAGTTTTCCAGTACTTGCTCCTTTTTGACAATGAAATTAATTCAGTATAAAATTGTTTTGGATAACCACGGTATTTAGGGGGATTAGAATGATATCGTTCTACATTTCACATCTAGATTTAGACATATTAGCGACATTCTTTTTAAGCATGTAAAATGGTAATTCAACTTTTTCAACAACATTTAATTAGCAATTGACTCATTGTAAGTGACAAGGAAAATGCATTAGATTAGAATTATTAATACTGATAAATTTGAGAATTAAGTTCTCAAAATCTTTTACAAGTGCCAGGCACCTTAGAGTCCCATTGATTCTGGCTTGCCTTCACCTAGCTATGTCTTATTTGTCAGAACTGCTAAAGTAAATCATCCCATATATAAAAGCTGGAATTCTAAGTTTTTGGCCTGGACATTGTCCAGACACAAGATTCACCTCAGGCATTTCAATATGCAAGTACTGTGAAGTGAATGTGTGTACATGTTTACTAATTATAACTCAGATGACTAAAGGTCTTCAACATGTTCTGTCCTTTACAGTAACTGAAAATATATTTTATTTGTGTGCTGTGACCTTGAAATCAAATAATGGAAAGCTCATTTAGACACAATACATTTTTCACCCAGTATCATTTATACCTTTTTGTCTATGATGAACTATAAATGACTGTGAAATATGCAGTAGAGAAAATGGCTGAAGATTTTCATTTAAATCAGCAGTTGCTGATCACAGGAGAAACATCTAACACTATGGCAACTCCAAATGCCATCAACTATGTCGCAGCGCAGCAGTAACAGTTTTCAATCTGGCAAACAGACAGAATGTCTGCAAAATAGTATGTTCAAAATAACTATTTGTACAGCTCTGCTAGAGATGGATCTGCTGATTTTAATATACAGAGAAAAATAAATCAACTATACTATATCCATGTAGTTGCATGGACCTACATATGTGTGTGGCAATTTTTTTTATCAGCCTGAATGGTTATTGAATTCTAGAAATGGATGAACGGGCTTAGAACTTCCCTTCTCCAAGGTCTGTCCAGCTGTAGGAAACTTTGGCAGGTAGTCTGGTTTTGTATCTGATTTTCTTGGGATATAATTTCAGTCTTAATTGAGCTATTTGACTGTTTCTGTCCTTTTCCCTGCCCCTCTCTCCACCAGTTCACCTATCCTGAGCTATAATACTGTGAACATAATGTTAGGAAATAAGTGCATTAAGACCACATAGCTCTCTTTCAGCTGGTATCATCTGGTGTGTTCCGTGACTGGAAACAAGCAGGTAGGCCAGAATAGTTAAGTTCACCAAGCTCTCTTCCTTCTCTCTTATTATCCTATTTGTGGTTAAACCCCACCCCACCCACCCCTCCAAAAAAACTCAAACCAAACAACAAGCAACTATATGCAAGTGGCTTACTTTTCAGATGTAGTCAGAGGACTGTATTGTTACTTGAACAAGTTCCAAGTGTTGCATAGAACAAATAAAAAGATGACTAGAAGCAATAAAAAAAAAAAATCATAGGAAGACTTACAGTGAACAGTCTGGGTTACATATACCAAAAGACTGTTTCTGTATTTTAAATTATGCTGAAAAATCTAAAGCCAATGATGGTGCTTCTTAGCTAATAGGAAGAATGTTCAGTAGCAACACACATTCACAAGTATTTCTGATAAAGAAAAGTGAAAAGAGGTTACTCAAAAATTTATTTTTCAGATTAGGAAAGTTTTTAGCAGTGGCAGGATGTCCTAGTAAATTAAAGCTTAGTAAAAGGAGAAAAAAAAAAAAAAAAAAAAAAAAAAAAAAGAAAGTGGGAGTATTCACCATTATTAGAGTTTGCTTTCAGAATGTAGCAGGTGTAATTAGCAGCAGATAGAGTGAGCAGTGCAAGCTTTCTGTAGTCTATCGTTCAGATAAGTTGGACTTGCATTATTTCTACATTTGTACACTATTTGTGCAAGATAATATTCTGGCTTTGCAGAAGGTGGATACCAATTTAACTTGCTGTATAATTCACTATGATGGGTTTTGTAATCACACTGCAAAATGAGTCTAGCTGCTGTATTATACAAC